GAGACAATAGTGAGTAATACGGTAAGTGGGCACTTAAAAAAAATAATAAAACAAATGCTTCAGCAAATTCTTCCTCAAGTGCCTTTCAGATGTAGGGATGGGTTGGCAGTTGGTTTCCGTGCCCTCCTTGGACTCGTACCCTTGCTGCCTGTTTCCCAGCCCACACTAACAAGTTTGATTGTGCTCCTGAAGCTCACAATTCCACGGACGAGCTCAAAGCATCCCTAGGACATGGGATGCTGGAAGAAGCAGCCACACACCAAGCCAGTCTCATTAGTTTTCTTTCCACGTTGCCCACGTACGTTCCAGAACTGAACAACAAGTGTTTTTACAACCAACTTGTCATTTATTTGCTACAAATCCCCTTGCAACGGACGGCTGGCCCCGCGGTCAGTGATGGATGACCGTGACAAAGGGAGGACTGAGCACAGGTTCAAACATCGAGCTGTTTAATACATTTTTGCCCTATCCGTGGACAGCTAGCTTGGGTTTGGTATCAAGCACGCAGATAAATACGTCCATCTTTCCACAAAAGGCTTTATATAAAACCAACATACTTTGACTACAACTCCAGTTAAAAAGGAGTAGAAAAATACACAATGAACCCCGAAGGTCCTTTAGGCAGCCAAATCAGCAGGGACAGGCTTTAGGAGATGGACAAAGAGAGACTGCTTCTTCAAGCCAGGAGTTCAAAAGCAATAAGGCGTTACTCCCATCGAGCCAATTCTTTGGAAATAAGGAGTTTGCTTGTGGACAAATCCTCTGATGCGGTGGAAGAATCATATCCCTGCAGCCAACGGCATCAACGCCGAAACCAGAGGCTGCAATCGCACTGTTTCCCCTCTCGTGAGTCACGGGCACCTTCCCGATCTGGATGTGGGAAGGTATTCGTACCACCCAGCGCTTGTTTTAAAACACAAAGAAGGGGGGTTAGCCTCCTGCCGTGCTCCTGCTAGATGCGTTTTCTTGGGTTTAGCAGCAAAATAAGCCAGAAAAGGACCTTTTATGGAAGATGTGGATCTGTCCCAGGCAGTTTTGGAAGACTGGGCATAGCAGGGGATGTAAAGCAGGGTCCCTCCCTCCGGTTTGAGATGGGGGGAGAAGACAGTGGGTGCCAATTCGCTTGTGTGGAAGGAGGTAGAGATCAAACAGATTCACGTTTATCCTATGCCAAGTCTCGGTTTCATTCTAAGCCATTTAAAAATCTGTCTAGAGGGGGCTTTTAAGGCCGGAGATGTGTGTGGGACACAGACGGAAAGTCTCTGTGGGTTGCTGGCTTGCAAAGCCTGGGAGGAAGTTTCACAAAGTAATAAATCATAAAAAGCCCACTCTGTTTCTTCTGCTGTCTTTCACCTAAGGACTCAAAGCATGTTCCTAATAGTAATGAGGCCTCGAACACTCATCGCCCTCAGCTTGCAGATAGGGAAACAGCCTCATTGATTGGAAAGTGCCCAAACCCTGGCAGCAAACCAGCAGCAGACTGGGGAAGGCAGCCAGGTAGCCCGAGCCTTTCGCCTCCCCGGTTCGCAGAGCCGAAACACGGACGCCGAGATGTTCACCGCTGGGCAGACGGAGCCTGCGACACGCCTGCTGACCCGAAAACCAAACCCCAAATGAACCACTGGTTGAAAAGTGTTTTTAATTTCCTAGTGACGAGCCCTTCTCCACAATAGGCTTAAAGTTACCCGGAGAGCCACCTGCTTTCCCAAGAGTTATACAGCAGAGACGCAGTCCCTAATGGTGACAGCTGCTTCCCCCAAGAATAAACCCAGTTGGTGCGAGGAGGGAAGTGCCGCCGCTTCCTGAGGAGCAACGCTGATTCAGGCAGGAATCAGCCCTTTCTCGTCCAAGGGAGATGCCATGGGCAGCTGCTCCGAAAGCTTTGATCCAGTGCCACACCGGTGCCACGCTCCAGGCTCTCGGGAGGGTCTGAAAACGGCAGCCTCAGCTCCGCCGGCTCTACCGATAACCCTCTGGGAATCCCAGTGCCGTGGAGGGTGCTTTGAAAGCGGTTTTAGCGCTGCCTGAGCATCTCTGCCCAACACGGAGAGCTCTAATTTGCTCCTTCGCCCGCTGCCTGTTTCCCGCTGTCCCCGCTGTTTGAACAGTCTGGGCAGGGCAGCGAGGCTTCTCCCGAGGGACAGCCGGGGGGATCACGGCGCCGAGCGTGGCCGGCTGGGAGAGCCTCACCACCAGCCGCATCCTCCTCTCGCACGGTGTTTTCCTCTTCCTGGGGCTCGCTGCCTGCTGCCCGCTGGGACTCCTCGGTGAGCGGGGAGAAAAGACTGCTGCTGCCCCTCTCTCCCTTGGTTTTAACACCCACAGCTTTTAGGATCGTGTCCATTTGCTTCATGTAGTCCAGGTGGCCGTTTACCTGCAAGCAACAAGAGTCTTGTTAGTGGGGAAGCTGCGGGGAACCCAGCTCAGTCAAGTCCCTCATCCCAAAGGCCACCGCTGCCGTGAGACTTGGTTTTAGCTCTGAAAGGCTGAAAAAAATGAGGTCTGAGAAATGCAGTTGTCCGTTGAATAACCCGAACTGGCCGCACCTGTTGTGGCACACGCTGCTGCTGGATTACTTTTCCTCTAAGATGTTCATGTTTAAACGTTTGGACATTGCTGAGTCACAAACCCCCAGATTCTGGGTGCCAAGAGGGTGAGGGAGGAGGTGATCTGCCATGGTGAGAGACGCCCAGGTAGGAGACGAGTTGTCCTATTCCAGCTCCCTGTTCTCTGCTAAATCCTGTGTCCTCCCTGTGCCTCAGCTCCCTTGTAAAAGCCAAGATTATCTTTTTTAAATTAGGATGTAGTCATTAAATCTCACAACAGCTACCAAGCGTGTTAAGGTTCTTGGCTGGAAGGTGCACTGATCTGTCCCATGCCATATAAAACCGGGAGCCTGAGAGTTATGGGTTCATAAACCAAATTGAAGTCAACAATACGTGCAGAACCCCACATGTTTTCATTGTACGGTGATTTCCATTACAAAATAAACCTGTCTGAGATGGATGCTGGAATGCACTCTTCCAGTCAGGGCACAGGAGGGAGAGGAAATCTCTTCTGCAGGTTATTATTGTCATATGCTAAAGGCTGCCTGGCTGGAAAGGCAGAAACTGCCTCCTCTGTTTCAGATGTCCTGTGCAAGCTGAGCGTTTGAAGTCATGGCAGCCAAGATCCTTCTAGAGACCAGCCTTCAGATCTCCTTTGCTGCTGTGCTCACAGCCAACATGGGAGGAAGCGATGGGAGCAAAGAATCACAAGGTGGATTTACAGTGGGTTTTTCTGTGGAGAGGAAAAGTGCGGTGGGGCTGAGTCGGGGGTATTTTGGGGGTACGCTCACAGCCGGCCTGTAGATCTCAGCAGAGGTTAAGGGCTATGATTTGCACCCTAAGGTATTTTAGCATCTTGGGTAAATTCTAACAGTTTAAATCCTCCCTGACTCCGCCAAAAGGCTGTCTCAGGCAACGCCGCCTCTTATTTTCCCAAATCTTGCTAGGAATTAGGGAATTCCCAGAGCAGGGAATACCCGACACCACAGTCCCAGGTTTTCTGCTTCCCAGCCGCCTGTACGAGCGCCCCAGGGAGGGGCTGTCTGCTCGTACGAGGCGGTAAGAGCTCTTGGCAGGGCTCTGCAAAGAAACCCAGCCGTGGAGCCTCTGCTCGCCTCCCCGCTAGCTCAGTCGGCGCGGCTGGCGGATGCCTGGGCAGTCCTTCCAGCAACCAGGGTTACCAGCACACCTCTGCCCAACCCCAAAGCAAACCTCCTGTCCTGCACGGGCAAAACTCAAGCCTCCTAGCTGTTGGCGTGAAGCAGCTTTTGAGTGGTATCGTTTGGATGGACTTGGAGCAAAATGCAGGATTTAATCAGCACGTTCATAATGCAATATGCGACTTTAATCAGTCCAGATGGCTCAACAGGCTCTTGATGTTTTGAACAGATTAGTTAATTAAAATAACCATTGAAGGACTAACGGACTGGCTGTTGTGTACATCGTTCTCTGAAAAAGGACAAAGCTTTTACTACTCAGTAGGGGGGCTTGGTGCTAAAGAAGGAATGAGCACAGCGCTGGACAAGGTGGAGAGAAACGAGAAGGAAATGGACTTACTGGGAGGGGTTGCTGAAGTCTCTTGGTTTGCTGTATCTGAAACCTCTACAGGCACCACAACCTACCTGTCCTGGTCAGCACTTGGGGATTTCTCAGCCTGTTACGTTACCCAGCCATTAGTCAGAGAGAACAAATTTCCTCTGCTGCCCTAAGGACTAGAATTTCATAAGTCCTCAGCATCCAGCAGCTTCCACTAAACCAGCGGGGAATTCCTCCTCCTGAGCACCACGATCGCCGAGAGACGCTGGGTATGAGCAATTCTGAAGAGCTGCGCCTTTCCTCATGCAGCTAGAAGAGAAGCTGAGACCTCCTGAAAGCCTGTCCCTTACTGCAGGTCTGCTCCTACCACTAAATCTCTTCAAAGGAAACTCACTTCTGTTTCCAGGGTGGCCCAGGAGAAGATTCCATCAAGCCAGACCAATGCAAGCCCTGAGAAGCCTTGGAGGAGGCAGGACTCTTTCTCTGCTGTACTGGACATTAAGTACCGAGCCATCAGGAAAAGACCAGCGAGCAAACTGCCATGCCGCTTTAAGGCTCTGACATCGTCCTGGTGCGAAAATTCAGCAACTCCATCTCTCATAAAGCCTGTTTTCATCTGCAATCTGAAAAGCTGAATTCCCCCCCTGGAAACACTGTAAGGGACAATAAAAACTTTAAAGCTGGGTGGGCTGTGCTGGCTGGGAACATCTGAAACACTGTAAGGGACAATAAAAACTTTAAAGGGAAATAAACATTTGTTTGAATGTTTGTCAGAACGAAGTACAGGTGGGATTTCAGAATAGAAAAGTGTTCTTGTAACCAAAGCAAATCATATTCATGCTTGTTATAAGGAAATGGAGGCCGTGGGGTAGGTTTATCATTGTGCTTAGGTGACTCCTCCTCTGTTCCATCTGATTTTACGGTTGCATTGACTCATTGGCAAACACAAGGCAGCTGCCCGTGTCACTGGCTCTGCTGCAGGACTCCAGCATCGTGCAGGAAGATCTCCAAAGGGCCACAGAGGACAGCAATGCTCAGGTGGATCCATCGGTCAGCTGAAAGGAGCCATCAGTTCAGGAAGTTTGGAAAGGTTTTCAAGTTCAAATCCACCCAAAAGTGTCAAAAATGTCACTGAGCATCATCAGCTGCGTCTATTAAATTCAAATGGAAGTCTTTTTATTTGGTACAATAAGTGCCTCTGGTTATGGTGTCATAAAAACACAGTTCAATTTACAGGAGCTTTAAAAACAAATAACGCCACTCCTGGGCCTGCAACCAATTCGCTGGTGGCCGCTGTACCGAGGCGAGCCGTGAGCTCTGCGGCACGGATGCTGCTCTCCGCGTTAATGACAGCAGCTCTAGGGGGAGAGGGACAGGGGACAGAGATCAGCGTGTCTGATGACAGTGGAATCAATCTGCAGTTACCACGCAGCTCTCCCCGTTAGCAGTAAGCCGGTGCAATCTCCACGGCTCCACTCGATTGCCCTTGCCGTCGGTTTTCCCCAGTGTCGCGAAAGAACAGATAAAGCCCCAGCACAGGATCCATCCAGCTCTTCAGGACAGAGGAAGAATCCCGACTTCTCGCAGGCTTTGAGCTGCAGGAACGCAAGGTGTACCCCAGAGCCCAGCGGGGATGCCTGGGGAGCCTGCCAAGTGGTGGAGAGAGAAAGGACCTGGGAGAAAGGAGATACTACGTACGACCCTGGCTCTGCCACGGACTCACACGAGCACAGGCAAGACTTGCTCCATCACAGCACTGGGTATCACACTGACATTAACCTCTTGGTGTGGCAGAAGAATGCTCACTCCAGAGCCAACTGTTTTAAGATCCAGTTTCCTTCAAAACAAGCTCCTCCACCGATCCCAGCGGCCAACACCAGGAGCCCAGGCCAGCTCCAAAGCCCGGCGCAGCTCGCACAGCTGTGGGCTTCGCAGGGCTGCGTGATTCACAGCAGCTCAGCTGAAAGGCACCTTGGCTACCTGCAGGGAGAGATCAAGGACAGAGCAGCTGGGCTCTGCCTTCCTCCGGCCCTCCCGGACCAGACATCCTGTGGGTTCACAGAGAATCGCTGAGGAGCACGGGAGGCACGCAGCGGGAGCAGAGGATTCACAGTACTCGGCGAGTCGCAGGAGCGCAGGTCATTAACATGGCTGAGAATTTCACCTCTTTGATTTGATTTGAGCCCGTCACGTCCAACTTGGTCATGCAGGAGAAAGCTACCCTCAAGTTAAAACATCTCTCTAGAGCTTTGTGATTTAGGAGCAGTAATGATTCGGAGGACACCACAGTTTCAGGATTCCCTTTTGACAAAAACTCTCTGTTTTAATAGGAAACAGTATTTTCTGTGGGGTGAAAACAGTTAATAGGCTGAGCTGCAGTTCCTGAAGCTCGGATAATAATCACACCTCACCTTTCAGCCGCCTTTTCTTCCTGCTGGGGTGTCAGACACTGCGTGTACACACATAATGAAATGCAAACTGCCTCCGGGTGGCCTGTCTCAGTAGAGCCAGCTCAGCAACTTTGGTTATTGCCAGTTCAGCTCTTGGCTTTACCCTCTGTTTCCAGAAGTGGCAGTGAACTTGTCGTTCAGGAAGAGAACCGGAGCGCAGCCCTGTGCCGGCCAGTTGTGGGGTAGCATGGGTAAAGAAGGGAAGAAACTGGAATGTCACTATTGCTTTCCAAAAAATTCTGCCTCCAAGTCCGCGCAGCCCTCCTCTTCCAGAGGGTGGCACAGGCTGAGTGACGATAGGGATCCCAAGCTATGCCAGGTTATCACTCAAAACGCAGCCACCTCTGCCAAGCGGGCAGGCTCCTCTGGTCAGAGTTATTCCTACGTGTCAGCACCAGCCTTAATTCGGAGCGCTGGGTACGCCTTGCATGGTAGAGGGCAGAAAAGGTCCCGTTTTCCACAGTTTTCTGGCAGTTTACGGCAAAGACCGAGCTCTGCCCGGGCAGGGGAATGGGGCTGGACCTGGCAAAAGCCAGGGGCTGAGCAGGCTCCCATCGTGAGAACCAGAACATTAAGCGAACCTCGAAAGAGGCTGTGGCTGAATGAAGTTAAAACAGAAATAAAATTCTTCTGTTTGGGTTCTTAGGAAACAAAGTTTCCTGAAAGTGAGGACAGTGAGCGTGTCCACTAATTCAGGAGCTGGAACTTACATGGATTTATTAAAAAATGTGAATTTGGCATCTGTGGCAAGTCCTCCCTTGCACTACAGGGATATCCTGAGCGTTAGCAGCCCTGGCTTCCAGCAGAGGAGAAGCTAATAAACATATATTTGAGGAAAACTT